AACTTTCACAACAATTATTCACCTGGCTCACAGCGAATAAACTATCTCTTAATACGGACAAATCTAAGTTCATTATATAAAATCGAAAAATTTTGTTACAACTGGTTTATTTTTAAGTTTAAGTTCAACCTGACATGTTTCGGTCAAATGCCCATCATCGGAGGTATCGTAAAAGGATATATGAGAAACAACATACAATAAAATAGAGCAACTGCTAGCAGATGTGTGTGGAAGTATTCTTTGTAGATAATATCAAGATAACCGGGAGCCACGTTAACTTGATATTATCTACAAAGAATACTATCCTTTTACGATACCTCCGATGATGGTCATTTGACTGAAACATGTCAGGTTGAACTTAAACTTAAAAATAAACCAGTTGTAACAAAAATTTTCGATTTTATTTAATTACCGCACTGGTTAAAGAAAGAATGGATCTACTTATTCAACAATAAGTTCATTATGTTTCGAATGCCTCAAAGAGAGTGTCATACAACTTTAAGCGTGAAGTACGTAGATAAATGCATTAAACAAACACATAATATCAGCCTCTTAGGTATAACATTAAACGAAAATCTAAAATGGGATTCTAATACGGAAAAAATAATAAAAAGTTTGAATAAAACTTTATTTCAAATGCGAATATTACGGGAAACATTAAGCTGCGAGATACTAAAAATGATATATTATGCCGAAGTATACCCAAAGCTGACGTATGGTATCACAGTATGGGGTTCAACTTCAGTCTTGAAAGAGATCTTTGTTCATCAAAAAAGAATAGTGAGAGCAATTTGCAACGTAAATCAACGATCTTCATGTAGACCGCTTTTCCAACAACTGAATATCCTACCAGTAATATGTATTTATATTTTAGAAATAGCTCATTATATCCACAAGCATAAAACAGCTCTTATACTTCAAAATAATGCTATACACGACCATAATACGCGCTGTGATCACATTGCGATAGCACAGCATAATTTGGCTATTACCTCAAATAGTCCCAATTTTATAGGAGTAAAAATATATAACCACCTACCGAGATCGTTTAAATCTCTAAATTTAAGATTATTTAAATGTAAGTTAAAGTTATTGTTATTGGAGCATTGTTTCTATCATTTAAGCGAGTTCTTTGAGTTTAACTTGTAACTGGATATTTTCTTCTGTTCTTTGTAAGCGAGGAAATAAAAAGATTATTATTATTATTATAAAACTAAAAGCAGTTTTGCTACTATCACTAGAACTAACACTAGACCTAGAACTAGAAACTTTTGGGTAAAGCCGTGGATCGTTTGAAAAAGTGTTTAACGTTTCGAATGCCATGTTGCAATCGTCTTCAAAAACAAGTTCGAATAAGAAACAAGACTTCGAACGTTCTAACGAAGAGAACATTCTAGTGACAGCTCTACTGTTAGTTCTAGTTTTAGCTTAATTAAATTAATCAGGTGGTAACTAAGTGAAAAATCCATTTTACGAAACAATTGACTCAGACAGTTGAGATAGATTTTAGCTGTATCTTAATTGTCGATATGAAATTTTGATAAGAAATTTGATAATAAATTATTGTAACAGTTTTTAAACGATATTCTTTTCGCGACCACAATTACAAAAATTCAGATTTATTATAAATTGTCAATTGTAATTCAAATTGTATGTAAATATCAATTACAATGGAGTAGATTTGGTCAGAAACAGTAACAAAGATAAAAGGAAAAACACCTAGGCAAAGACAATGAAGATAGATTTAAAGACATTGCAGAGTTTGAAAAGTTAAAGGATAACTTTAAGTTAGGGAAATATGACAATGGACGTATTAAAGAAGAAAGAGAAATTTGTCAAATAATTAAAAATTAGAGAAAATGTACAAATATCACAGCACGTTTAGAATGGGCGATTGAAGATAGATCCATATTTTCTGCTAAGAACCACCATTCACGAGGTGTAGTATACAATACATTCCTTTACAATAACGTGCAACAATGTTTTTTAAACATGATAATGATATATTTTTCTAATAAATTGGGGTGAACTAATAGCGTGGCCACCCACCTCTCCAGACTTTTCTTCAAAACATTTTTGACTGTAAAAATAGGTACACAATAAAAGGTATTTTCTTAACATGCTTGTCAGAGTGGATGACGCTACTGTTTGAATTCACAATGCAATAATAATAATAAAGAATAAAGACTTCGATTCTTGATTACATGTTGATTACAAACCTGTATTAAAAACGATTTTAACAATTTTGAGGGTTTTGTTAATGAATTATATGTTTCGTTTTCGTATCGCTTAGATTCAGGAAGTCCTTTAATAGAGTAAGTGGTTACTTAAGAAGTAGTTAATAAACAGTGATTAGTGTTTTAATAGACACATGCGAAATCCTGGACGTTTTTAATTTTAGTTTTATGTTTAATAATACGGGCTTTGAAAGCCTTAGGTTTTGACTTTGATAATCAAAGTAATGTGATGATGCTTAAAATCGAATAAAAATTCTAAAAAAAATGAAAAGTAATTGTTATTTGCAATGTGTCGTCATCTTTTTCATCACTACTGCCCTCTAAATAATATAATAATAATATAAAATATAATGTTTGTAAGATACATTTTATTTGTATTTAAATATTCAACTAGCTTTCCCTTATGTCATGTTAAGGTAAGCAGTTTTTCCTTTCACCTTGAGTGATAAGATGTATTATCAAGGATTATTAAACTTGGCGTATCTAAATTAGGAAGCAACTGCTCCGTGAACCACTTTTTATCTATATTTTATAATGGATAACTTCGACGTTGAAGAAAATAACAGATATACGCCCTTTCTAAATCCACAGGTATTGTTAGCATACAGAATTACATACCTTTCGCTAACAACACACCGAAACCCCGAAAGTTTCAGCTGTTCTCTAAATAAAAATTACCTTTGTGATGATAAAATTAAAAATACTTACTTCATTAAGAATACTATGTGCTACTTATATTTTCATTAGTTCGACGTGATTCGACGTTCACCAACGTCATCACTGCTTCTCTACTCAGTACTATTGCTTTTAAGGAAAACAGTTTACAGACATTCATTTTAAACACGCTGAACTCTGCACACGTTTTAGATTTTAAAGACATAGCTTTTCGCGTATATATTTATTTTGTACAGCAGACGTATTCATTAGAAGGCACTTCACTCTAACGCAAGTCAACTTATGGACATAATTTCTGTTCCGTATGCGGAATATAATAACGGAAGCTGATTAGTCATTCGTGTTATTTGTCGTATGGACTATATATTTTTTGACAAACGTATTCAAACGTATATACTCTTACGTTATACACTTTTTATAACAATCTTGTCATTATACACAAAGTTGCAAATCACATGTCTCGTGAAAACACTATTTAATCTATGCAAACTTCTAACACTGGTTTAATCGTTGATTACTACCCTGCTTAACAAAATCAGCTTGGAACACAATTCTCATTTTAAAACCTTTTTTAATTTTCGTTTTTCTATTTTATTTAATGTCGTTATCTTTTTGCATAACATTCGACTATTTTTGAAACGGTATTCTGTATCCCAAATAGCATATAACATATGCCATAAATTTTAAGTGTATAAGGTTCTTCTGAGGTGATTTTTTCTTCATATGTTTTCTGTGTTTGTTTGTTGAGTAGTTTGTTCGGCATATTTAAATTGCATGAGTCTACAATCGTGTAATCGGTGTTTATATCAAACTATCTGGTTTTGGTCTAGTGTTATCTTTAGCTATAACGTCACCATAGACACCATACATATCACTTTGTGCATATCACCTCTTGAACCATCACAATTCCAATCAATAAACATTGTAATAATGTTTTCAGTAAATCACTTCTCTCCTGTAAATTAATATTTGCATCACTTTCTGTTATTTCCATTTCAAACAAATGACAGATTTTTCTATTTGTTTAACACTTTATTATAGGAAGCACGCATATCATGCCCAATTTCTTTCAAACAGACTCCTGTATCTCCCTAATGAGGTTTAATTACCTACAAATCTACCAGTAACTACAGTAATACTAAAGCTCGTTGTGTATGATACTATTAGATATTTATGAAACTATTATCCTTGGGCGTTCTCAGGGCGTTGAAGATGAATCTCATAAATCAATTACTTTTTGAGGTATGATTTTTTTAATATTTGTTAATAAACATGTCATAGTTATTATTTAGAGATTAATTCAAAATTATTATTAACATTATCACAGTTTTTGAAATAATTGATAGAGAAAATAATGAAAATTTAGGTTAATCCAACCCTGATATATAAAAAGACAAAACATTTGTATCCAATTTATTAAACTCAAATTTATTAGGATTGCTTTCTTTGTTCTTTATAAGTCGTAAATTAATATAATTTTATCCCTCGTTTTATAAACCCCTCGACTTTGCGTGAATTTACTTCCGGCGGGTGTTACGTTATCCACGTTGGCGTACAAAATTGTGTTTATACCGGTCGGTAACGTCTCGAAAAGCTTTAACCGCACAGCACACGGTCGAAGTTCGAGGGTTGAGACGGACGCGAAAACCCCTTCTTTTCGGTAACGTAACAAAACATCTTTTATTTAAATCGCACTTTACACAATCACAAAAGACCCAACACTCAGTTTTTGTAGCATTTTTCTAAAAATCTTTTCTTAAAACATATTTAAAGCTTAAAATCCAACAATCACGAAAAAGAAAGATTTATATATACATCCACTAAAAAGTATACTCTGATTGGTATATGAGTATTTGATGAAAACATGCGAATGTATCGTAAAAACTTTTTAAGCTTTAAAAAAAGCAGTTTTTATATCCTGTTTCATGTCGAGTTCCAATTTACACAAGTTTTAAGTACGGTGTAATCTGATGAGAAAGTTGTGTTTAAGGGTTGGAATACACGACAATGACTTCGTGGATTTGCATAAATATCTTTCTAGTTTGTAGTTTTGTTTCAAACGGTTCAGTTCATTGCATTTGTTTCCAGGCTTATATATCCGGTTGGAAAATCACGTGTTGAAAAATTAATGGGATCAAATTTAGTTAGTTTAACCGATAGAAATTATATGCAAAAGTTACAACGAAGGATCGTTGAAGATTATACTGAAAATATGAGCAAAAGAATTTCAAGTAGACAGGTGAGATAAACAATAAACAAAATATTACATAAATACCCGCACTTAAGCTAATTTTGGGTACTGATTACAAATATTTATTCCGTTTTTCGCTATAAGGTAAGATTTTAGATATTTTTCATTCTGTGATGAAAGCAGTAAGTTCTTTTACATGAAACACTTTAACGATTTCTTTTGTATTTTAGTATATATCTATCTGATTTATGAAACTACCGTTGACATTAAAATTTTAGAAATGGATCGATATAATACCTTCGAGCCCACGATATATTGAACTTCAGTGATGTACTCTCTAGCTAGTCAACCTTTCCCATCGATAATGTAAGGCCCCGGTAATTTAATCTACAGGTTAATATGTCGGAGGTTTGGATTCTATACCCAGCGTTTCTTAGTTATTAAAAGCAACACATTATCGTCATAATATATTGTCAATTATGTAAGCTTTAATGATTATCATTGTAATAACTATTTCGAAGCTTTCAGAGTATTAAGTGTAATAAACCTATAAAAAGCTATATTATTCCAAGTATCAATAGGACATGGTTAAATGATAACTGGAAACAGATTCGCCACTAAAGATCTAACGACCACTCCTATAAAAACTTAGGAATCATAACCACTGACACGGAATTTTGGAGTGGATATTCTACAATAATTTCTCTATTATTTCCAAACTATGAGAATCTTTAATTCAATAGTGATTGAATTTGAGGTTTTTGTAGCGAACGTGGTAAATGCCATTCGAGATTATTGGTTTTCCATGAAACTTCGCATATAATGAATTTCTAATTTTCTTCCCCAAACTTGAACGTTAAATGGCGAAATTAGAGGTTTTATGCAGAAGCGTAATGCTGCCAAAGCACTTATTCGACGAATTATTTCCATTACGAATCGGTAAAATTACCCGATTCCTTTTAATTATTTCTTCAAATTGCAGTAACTAACAAAGTTTGATATGCAATAAAATTATATTTGTTAGAAGTTATCTTATACAACCCCGAAAACGTTTTGGAAGGCGATGCTCTTGGTATAGTTACAACTTTTTGCATGCCAACATTGATTATAATTCTTTGGCATTTTCAATATGTTCATACGCAATTGCCAGACATACTATTCTATAGGAGAGTACGCATGCGTGGATGAAATGCTTGTAGGCTTTAGAGGGCGCTGCAAGTTTAGGATGTATATTCCCAGTTGTGAAATATTTTGTTTTAAGAAATCTGTTTTACCGACCAACTCTCGTTCTGTGTGAGAGTCAAGTTTGTAAGGTTAGTTTTTAGTTGTTGTTATGCGAACGTGTAAAAGTGTCAACGTGAATAAATCGTTATATAAAGAAAAGTTCCTCATTACAACCTTAGTCATCTAACACCAGTAAGCCCAGAAAGTATGGTCTGAAAATCATGGCACTAACCGACGCATTACCTTCTTAATGCCTACATCTACTCAGGTAAGGGCAGCGATGGTGCAACTCTAACCAACAAAAAACGACGTCTCGCCGGACAACTGGTTTTCTTCCATACAACTTATTCAGGAGCTAAAAAAGAGAGGACTAACTTACTGTGGTACTCTACGAAAAAATAAAGGAGAAGTGCCAAAAGAGTTTCTTCCAATAAAAACCAGGAAAGTTTCAATCACTCTACGGATTTACAAATGAACTAACACTTTTATCATTTGTGCCAAAGCGGAATAAAGCTGTTCTCCTAGTGTCTTCTATGCACCATAACGCCGTGACAGACATACAATCAGGGAAGCCTTTGATGATTCAATTTTATAATGAAACAAAAGGTGGCGTGGATGCACTAGAGGAGAAATGAAGAATCGGTGGCCACTTGCAATATTTTTTGCACTAATGAATATTAGTCTCGTGAACTCGTACGTTCTGTATTCTAGTTTCCAACGTAATCAACCTCAAAATTGACTTGTTTTCACAAAATGTTTGGCAAGGTAGCTGGCAGAGCCTCATATGCATCGCAGAATGGTGAATTTGCGTTTGTCTCGTGAATTTCGGATGAGTATTTCAAGAATCCTCCAGAAGCCATCCGCTTCAGAATTACTCCAAAAGCAGGTCAGATGTAAAAAGTGTCCAAGAAATCAAGACAGAAAGACCAAATTTGTCTGTGCGGACTGTAAGAGTCCTATTTGCGGAAATTGTATTGTAGGATTGTGCCAATTAGAATGTGTGCATTTGCGTTTCTCCAACTTGGTGACAACGTGGTACTGACTATATTGTATAACTTACTACTGTATAACAAAAACTTAATTTTTCATGTCCTTATGCATATCAACCAAGAATAAATAACATAATCAAGCTTTTATTTATACATTACCTCTACAAACTTAAAATATGTAGTGGGATTTGTATAACCCCACGTCACCAGTTACGTGGCAGAAAAGTCACCTCACCAACTACGGGATAAACTAATCGAAGATTTTCAACCTAGTTTCTAACCAGGTCACAGTATGACATCAGTGCTGGTCAGGATTGCTCAGCAAGTATCAGCAAGGATTTTGATTCGATTCATCGTGGCCTATTAACGGTTTCTCTGTCTACCATTGACTTTCTCCCAGACGATAATGCTTGATTTCGATCTTACTCCTCTCCATTCCAAATAATATCGTGACACTTCACATTTTCCTTTATATTTGTAGGTTATAGTCTCGAACCCCAGGGTAGTCAAAAATGTGAGAATGCCAAATTTAGTCTGACAGCAAGAAAATCTTTTATGTTTCCATCACAGGAATATTAACAATTTGGATACGCATTTGTTTATACAGTGGTTTTCGGCTAGTTGTGAGGTTAGAAATAAGTGTGTGAGCAAATGAGTTTTGCACTGGGCGTATGTTTTTAGTATCTCCCACAAACTATTCAATTTTGGGACTTGTGGAACGCAAAAATGTAAACAGTTGTTTCAATGGAAGTGTTAGAAGGTAAGAAGGGATCTCAATAGAAAATCAAGAAACAGATGAATCAAAAGGGACTGATGACGATGAAAGCAGTGAAGTTACTAAACAAGAAATAATTACAACGGAAATGGTGAAGAATGCGGGAGTAGCAGCGATTCAGTAACCTTATAGAATTTGTAATAAAGTCTACAGAAAAGAAAGAATACCACAAGATTGGGGAATAGCACCTATACAAAATGAATAGTGTCTATACACAAAGAACTGCAGTAAGTACAGAGGAGTTTCGATATTACGCATAGGACTAAAGATATTTGATAATGTCGTATTTGAAAAAGAGACTGAGAATATTTATTAAATCGCAACTGTTAGAGTCATAGAACAGATTCCGAAGTGATAGAAGTAGAAGAAAACACTGTGAGCGTGGCTAAGGAGACCTAAAACTTGTAAGAATGATAACCAAATGCAATGCCACTTACAACCAGGTGATAAGCAGTTGACAACCGAATATTAGAAGAATTAGAAGAATATTAGAAGCCTTCGTACTTATATTGTAATGTAGTTGTTAGTTTTCAGGTAGTAATAATTCTTTGTCAGTAAACCACTTTCTGATATTTTTTCTATCACGATTTAGAAACTATTTGTATATTTGAAGTTGTTTCGTCATGATCTGTAACTCGTTTCTGAAAAAGGTAATTTTTAGTATACAACGATCTTTCATTCTCTTCTATTAATGAAATAAAATATGGTTCTCGACAATTTATTTCTTTGTTTCATGAAATGTACATGTAGCTAGTTGGATCTACCGACCGTTTTGACTTTGAGTTTATGTATATGTTACCATCGATTAAATGGGGGGGGGTTGCGGATTACCTACCTAAGTTGTCGACCCATGTACTACTAATATACATATGTCCTGACAGTCTCAAAGTTCTAGACAACGTGCAGCTCGACCTAATGTGCAACGAGAGCTCCCAAGGTCGAGTGTTCTAAATATGGAGGAGTTTCCGAAATTGATTTCAATCTGAGTGGGATGTAGTAAATCGTTAAACGTTTAAATAACGAAGACGGAGTTACTCTCATAGGAGAAGGTTGATGACTTTTACCTACAAATTTAATGGTTGAAATTAAAGCCACTTTATTTGAAAGTAGAATTAATTTTTTATGGGCAAACAATTCTACTGGTGGCACAACTAAAACTGAAGCTAAGACGTCGAGATATGAAACAAAGATACGGAAAAGCAGTTTATATTCTCGGAAAAACGATTAAAGACTACGACTTCTCGAGGGATGAACTCTTCCCCCTTAAGATGAGATTTCGTCCTCAATATTATATTTCTAATTTTTCTGTTATTTAACTCTCTTTATTATTAACTACAATAGCTAAATTTAAATCTCTTCTTACATTATTGTCGACGTTTGCTAATTCATTGTTTAAGATTTTTATTCATTTTTTGGTTATCATTTAGAGATAAAGCCAAATAATTACATTTGGAAACAATTTCAACGTGAATGTTGTTAACATAAATTGACAGGCTATTCTATATTTTCAACAATTTGTTTGTAAAATAAATACACAACTGCGTGATTGATACACGTGAATGTTAATGATTGAATTACGTAATTATTTCCATGTCGTCCTGAAATGAGGCAGGACGACGATTCTAAAACAATTCGACGTTTTATTTCTTTGATGTATAACGTTTTCTGTTTAAATTTTTTATTTAAAACTCAATTTTAAATCGGTGATTATTTATTTTTTATGATGATTTCCATATAGTTGCTTTGGAAAATCATGGTGTTCACTCATGCAATTCTGCATAAATTGTTGTTTGTTTTCTATATCAATTGGATCTCGTGCTTGAGTGTATCCGCAAACTATTTCAAATGGGATTAACTTAAACGAGGGATTAATAGTTGAGTTATATGCCACTGTTATAAGTACTGTCTACACGGTTATTACCTTCTTGATAGTATAGAGTTGTTAATAGCTGTCGATTTTATATAAAAGGAATATTAATTAATTAGCTATTTGAATATCAGTTTTATCCTTAAGTATGTAAACTATTGCAATTTTTGAGATATTATTAATAATTCTTTGATATACTTCAACACTATTATTAAATTTTGTCTTCTTCTTCCTCATACAGTAGGGCTCGACCCTGTCTTTCTTCAACAGTCTCGACTCGAGACCCTGAACTCGTTTCCTGTAGTAGATGCTCTCTAGATCTTTTGTTTGCTGATTGTCCTCTCTGATTGATTCTGTTTACATCCTTGATTGTCCTTTTCCTCATATTCCTGGTTCTCCCCCCGTAATGTTCATGGTTTCCTAAATTTGCAATTTCCACTTCGGCTCGAAATTGAGTTCTCGGCAAATTGTCCAAAAATGAATAGACATCTGCATCGAGCGTCCTTTAAAAAGAACTCTAAACATATCTAGGATAAATTATGCAGTCAACTCAATGGTTTGTGATCACTGTGATCAGTAACCAAAATAAATTTGTTTCCAGAAACATAATTCCTGAAATCCCCTACATTCCATTTTTGAGACTGCCTGCATTGTAAGATGAATTATTACAATTCTTTCTTCAGAAAAGTACATTTATCTAACGAAATCTTAACACCACTAGCTCCAAGGCTATTGAAAACTCTTTGTAAATTGTCCTGATGTTCTTGAGATTCTCGCTAATCTTGATCTGATGATATTTAGATTCAAGGTTAATAATTCATCGATATTAATTTCATTTTTCGTCCAATATCCAGACAATTCCTTGATGTATCTTTGAATTAATTTGGCGAATTTGGTATTTAGCGTCCGAATAATAATTAATAACATTCTTTAATAAATAATATTTTTATAATGGATTAAAAGATTTCGTATCATTTTTCTTTCCTCCAATGTTAAATGATTTACGTTTAATTGGTCTGCAATTGTACTATGTTGAATTTTAACTGGACTTTTAACTGCTATGTTCTTCAACGTTTGCTAAAGAACTTGGAATTTCAAGTGCTTTCATTATTTCCTGATGATTAATGATTACATCTCCATTATTAATATCAACGAGTAAATGAGTTATCTGTCGAGTTCCATGAGATGACTCTATTAACGTCGTTTGTAAAAGTGGATTATTAAAACACGTTACTAATTGGGATGTTTTATTATTGATTTTGTCTTGATAAGAAATAAAAATATCATTACCAAGTATTCCCTGTATTTATTACAAAAATCCTATAAGTTAACCTGCATCTCCAAAATATTATTACTAATATGCTGTACTACTAATATGCTGTTGTCCGGAAAATTGGCCAGTAATTGCCATTTCTTATAATTGTCGAATGATTGGCGTGTAAACGCTCCGGGAACGAATTCATTTTCATTGTCTTCTCACCTTTTGATATAGGTTTCTGAAGACCCGTGTTGGAATTATCATCCCAGTTTTCCTCATAGGTGAAGAACAAATGTAGATATGTTTCATCCATATAAATAAAAGGCCGTGTCGCATTTAATATTGAAATACCCTCCTTAAGAGAATACAAACCAAATTTGAAACGTCATTCAGATCGCCTTTGAAAAACAAGAAGTTTCTGATAGTGAGCAAAGTCACCAAGATCTACATTAACAGGAGGAAGAAATGGCAAGTGGAACATCTGTAATATCAGGAAAAATGGTTACAAGTGGATCTTCAAAGTTCCGGAGCGCAGAGGAAGACGTGAGAAAAAGAAATGTAGTATCATTTATGCCAGAACCAAATGGGGAAGCCCGGCATGTGAAAACACCTCTGGAAGCTTGGTCTCTTTTATTTAATGAAGACATTAACAAACAAAATTGTCAGTCATACCAATGAAGAAATTGCACGAAAAATTCGTTTGTTAGTAGTACAGTAGAAATTCGTGGCTTGATTGGACTGTTTTTTCTTTGTGGAGTAAATAAATTAGCATAAGCAAATACCGAAGACATATGGTTGAAAAAATTGGATATATCATTATAGAGTATATTATTATGGGTTAAAAATGCTTCAACTATTTATCATCTTGTTTGCGTTTTGATAACAAAAATACCAGAACAATGCGAAAAACAAATGATAAATTTGTTCCTATTAGGGAAATGTTACATATTTATTTCAAATTGTCATAAATATTATACACCGCACTCGTATTTCGCAATAGGTGAACAAATGCTGACAGGATACAGAGGTAAATGTCCGTTCCGTATGTACTTAGTATCTAAACCATATAAGTATGGTTTTAAAATAGTAATGATGAATGACTCTTGAACTTGGTATAAGTTGGTATATGATCAACGCAATTCTATATCAAGGAAAGGTGTTGACGGAACGTAACGAGTCAGTTCCATCATAGTATGTAAGAAAGCTTTCAGAACCAATTCAAGGGACGAGACGAAATATTACTGTTAACGTAGGGTAAAAGTAGCCAACCTAACCCTGTTCACACATGAAACTCCCTAGTTGGCGAAAAGAGAGAGAAAGACGACGCCAGACAGAGAAAGCCAATACAAAAGAGCCGGCTGAAATAATAAGTGCCGACTAAAACCAAACAGCCCCAAAAGAAAAGTCGTCAAGACGTCTGATTAAATGACAGTAAATGTCACTGACATTCTGAACGTCACAACGGAAACTGACGGAATCAGCTTCCCCAAGAATGTAAAATATCTCAAAAAACAGACACTTAAAGTAGGATGGCTCCAAGCAAATTATGGATGCACCTTCGAAGTCAAAAGTATGTCCCGTAGAGAGATGATGTTCTACTAAGGCCTTAGCATTTGACTTTTTTAACTTACAATGCCTTTGATGTTGTTTGAGTCTATTTTTTAAATATTGGCTCGTTACACCTACATTACAGCTACTGCTACCCTGATAGCTAACCTTATAAATCAGGTTGGATCTGAGACCATCAGGAGTGTGATCTTTAAGACCAGAGAAAATGCCCCTTAGCGGCTTGCAAGTATACTTTGCAAACTTGAGAGGTTGGTCTTTAAACAGATTGATAAGGTTGTCGGTGAGGCCCGGTACAAACGGAAGTTTGACGTACCTACTAACAAGGCACACATCCAAATCGGGTGTGTGAATCAGAGACACATCTATTGAGCTTCAAAGGGGAGAGCAAGAATGCATTTGTCCAACACAAAATTTATCACAATGGTGGCCAGGGTAGGGCTGAAGAGGCTACCCATTATTGTTAGCAACTGGTTTTCTTGTGTAGACTTCTTCAAAAAGATGTTAGTCGATCACAACATTACCACACTTGGAGCACTGAGGAAAAACAAATGGGGAAGTACCTCAATCGTTTCATAATGGAAAAGCAGGATATTGTTCCACATTCGTGTTTGTCAATAACAAATTTCTTATGTCCCAAAAAAGAATAAAGTCGTACCTTTAAAAAATAGTCACATGAGCTCAGGTCTGGCGATCGTGAAGACTGATGAATATTCGCATTTTTACTGGTGAAGCGAAAAAATTGTCTAAGAAAGTTCAATGTAACCCTAGCTGTGTGACAAGTTGCTTCATCTTGTAGGAAACGAGTATTCTCATTTGTAGCCATTATCGTGAAATAAAAATGGTTTCCAGCATTCGAACATATCGCGACAGACATCGCACATCAAGCTGCAACTTTGGCGAGGTTGTTCATGAATTTGATGAGGGTCTTCAGCGGCCTAATATCAAAAGTTATGTTTATTAACATATTCGCTGAGGTTGAAATGAGTTATGAAGCCTTGAAGTTCTTTGACGACTTCTTGCAGTTACTACTCGTACAGTTTCTATATTTGCGGGAGTTCTAACAGTTCTTGCACTACCGCCAATTTCTTATTATTTGACCCACCTTTTTTAAGTTAATAGTCTAAACAGGAGCATGAGGCGGTAAATGAAAATGTCAGCGGGATTCGCGTTGTGATTGCACATGACTGACCATTTTCTAAATAAGGTGTAACAGCAAATCCACATTGTTAACAAGCCCAATTATGCATGTTAACTTAACTGTCAAGTGTATTGAATATGATAATCACTGCCAACTAATTCATTATAAAAATCTCGTACACTCAATATTCAAAACGTGAAACTTTTTTCTGCTTCTTTTCTTCTTCATCTTGATGTTATCCAAAAAACCCATTTAGCAGAATTACGTGGAAAGAAATAACGGTCGTTAGGAACTGTAGAAATTCTTGGGAAATCGATCAATACATTAATTAAAACAACGTTGTCCTGGTTCTTATAATCAAGCTTTCGGAATCACTTCATTCCTTCTTCAGGGTCTTGATGTTATCCAAAAAATCAGTTTGGAAGAATTGTATTTGTTTTAATTCAACTTCCAATGGTGGATTTCCCAAGAATTTCTACAGTTCCCATATTTATAGAATTTATTGGCGAGTTTCAGTTATTAAACCTTCTATTTGATCAATTAATTTTTTAAATTTTAATAAAATCATGCTAATGCTCGCATCTAGTTTCCTCTTTGTACTTTTCTTAGGGTTTAAATGTATGGTCGGGATAGTTGGAAATGTAATCCGATGCTATAGCCGCAATTTCTCGGAAATGTCTATCTTCGGAATCTTGTATCTGACGTTACCAAGTCACTACCGTCTCTCACAAACTACGTAAAAATGCACATTTTGAAAGTTTTAATATAAACAAACAATAATAGGAAAATCAAATCACAACTGTCTGGCTACAAATGGTTAATTCATACCTCGTTCGAATATTTAAAACGATTTAAAACTTTGTAATCAGTACCTTAAAATTACCTATTTTTCATAAAAAAAGCGATTTATTTGATTTATTGATCTAATGAAAATGAATGGTAAAGTTAGATTGAAAGTTTTACGTTCCAAAAACGATGTTATTACCGGTATAAATCGTCGGTTTCAAATAAATTTTTGTCACCCGTTAATTAATTTTCAGGCTAAAGAATTGGAAAGGGTGAAAAATTTGGTATTGGTTGGTAAAATTCCCTTAGAAAAAGCTCCCATTGAAATGGCTAATCATCCAGTGATGTTAATCGAAAAATATTTTAATCCAAAAGAATTTTCTACAAAAAAAGATGTTAGATATTTATTAAAAAATTATTGCCACAAAATATATTTTTTATTAATTTTAGTCTAAAACAAAAAGATTAAAGTTAACCAACCGATCGAGTTCTATAGAAACTTTACCGATACTTGAAAGCACACACTGTGAAAAAATTGATGCATTGTCTCCGATAGAAAATAATTTAGGAGAGGACACTGATGAAGAAGAAGCGCACTTTGGGACTGAAGGCATTGAACTTGTCAAATACGAAAATCCATTGATAAAAGAATTGAAAAACTGTGAGGTAATAAATTTTTTCTCCCCCTTCTTTCAGTGTGTACGAAAGAAATATTAGCCTAGCAACTAAAGAAAATATTCGCGGAAAAGCTGTGTGGGAGTCTTCAGAAATATTATACCTATAAAATGATTACATCAAACCGCCGCACATTCTTTTCCACCCGTAATCTTTACCATTATTTTTTTAGACTGTACACGAAATGTATGCACTTGCAGATGAAATAATTGGAAAAATAAAAACTGAACATAGAAAACCTGATGAAATTTTACAACACAGCGACAAAAATTTATGAAAAAATTTAGTTATAAAGATTAATTTTAATGTTAACTACTTTATAAATTAAATATAATTTATATAAAAATAATTAGATACGAAATTGTTTAGCTTTATTTAATGCACCGATAAGAAAAAAGTGTAATGATCGTGATAAACAATAATGACGCACACCATGGTATTAACATAAGCGTCAAGACGATAATGAGTTCCCACTCATACACAAACACCATTATGTGGCGATAATTTAGTTTATGACATTACTATATTATACCCCATAATAATAATATTGATTGATTTATTAGAACGAAAATCGTTTAATTCTTTTCAAACAAAAAAAAATCTCTAATTTAATTTAACCCAACAAATTAAATTTTATCATTTAATCAAAGGGTAAAATGTAAACTCGTTATTTGTAATGTTGCTTCTAATTAAAACGGACCCTAAAAATGTTTATCTCTATTTTAATCTACATATAATCCAGTTTGATATTTACACCGGGGAGAAAATAATTAAAACGAACCCCTTCTCATTTATACGAAGTTCGTTTTGCGTTGATGTCAAGAGAGAAGTAATCATTTGCTTTTCTTGGTAGACGTGAACTGAATATCAAACTATAACAATCAACGTTTTACAGAAAAATCACAATTGCCACGTTCGTATCACAATATTCGAACCCGGAGTTCGATGAAAATCAATGTTGGTCGAGGACCAACTCCCTTTCCCTTCCGGTTTACACCGAATACCTATGAAAAAAGAAATTCACTTGAAATCGTATCAATAATACATATTTATAGAAGTTTTCAAATTTTGTTTTAAGTAAACTTTAATCCTCAAAATATTAAATTTGATTATGTAAACCATATTGAAAAATAGTTAAAATAACAATAAAAAATTCATGTTGCTTATTTGTTTATATAAGCGAGATCTATTTGTTTATATAAATGCTGATAAAAATGGTAGATCTAGACCGCTAGGAATCTCAAAGCAGTTATAAGAACAACCAACTGTAGTTTTAAGTAGTTTTAAACGCATAGGAGATGTAAGATGTTAAAGCAAGAAGTTATGTAATAAAACGTCTCTAGATTAACAAGAAATTATATCGGACCTTTGCATATAGACCAAAATATATTGAAATAGGCATTTTATTCTATACAAGAGTGTTTGATTGGAACGTTGAAGAAAATTTTAGATGGTATTTTTTTTTCTTTTTAGCCATCTATCCATATATTGATCGCTTTATATGTTTATTTCTGTATTTTTATCTTTTGCTGGTCTAAGAATGTAAGAAGCATTGTGCGAGGTGGTACTGCTATTAAGACAACACCGTTGCTGAATTAAACAATATACATATATTCAGCATCTCCGTTAAATTTAGAATTGAGAATATATGATTTAGTTTTATCAAGCCGAGGCCGCTTGTAGTCGAGCCGTTGCAAGTTTATAGCGATACAGCATTAAAGAGATCAGAACATATTTGAACAATGGAACGATCTGGTCGTTTGATTCTAAATAATATAGTTGATTAAATTACAACTTCTCAGATAAAATTTTTGTGGCCCGAAGCAGTGTTAAGCAGAAATTTGGTGATTGGTAAACATGGTATGAATAAATTAGGTTAATCTTGTAAAAAGCGGCATACTGTTTGATCAGATAGTATAAAAAATGTGAGACAGATACAAAGCAGGCAATGTGTTATACGACACGGCGAATAATAAAATTACAAGAAATGACATGAGCATTGGAGAAATATTGGTTCTTCAGCAGCGATCGTAATTATGCAAGTAAAAACTGCTTAAGGAATCCATCAATGAAATCGAAATCAAGATACTTTTGAAACACGAGTACCTATATTAGGGGTGCTCAGAAATAAAAAGAAAATAAATGGTAAAGATATTCATGTATATTCTAAATTCAATAAAACGTTTAAAGCTAGAACGAAGAAAGATAACGAAAGAAAACCGAAATATTGGTGGACACAGGATATCGCAAAAGCCAGAAGAAAATGTATTATAAAGCGCAGAGAGACGCAAAGAGGAAACTGGGGAGGACAATGCGGAAACATGAACAACGAGACACAGGAACAATATAGAAGAGCAAAGAAGATCTTTCGACGATGATTAAAAGATCAAAAGAGCAAAAGTAGAAAGACCCTTGCAAGAAACAGGATGTTTGAGGCACGGCATATCAGGTTCTTACTAAGAGACTGGGTACTCGAGGCACCAGACAACTTGATGAGGACACCATCAATAACCAGTAGATATGACAAACGCTTCCCCATAGTATTGGAAGACAGAAACAGGGTATAACTGCTATTACCAATACAAAAAAGGTTGAACATTCGATAAAGATGAGATAACGTCAATCCTTAGACGTCTGAAACCAAAACTAGTACCAGGACAATATCACCAACGAAGTCGTTAGAGTGTATGCCTTTTTGCAGGTATTTAACGGTTGTTTAGAGACTGGGCGTTTTCCAGAGATTTGAAAGGAAGCAAAGATTAAGGCCATTAAAGCAATAATCGACCATCCGTTCGCGTATAGAATGTGAAGGGGGACGGTAGACGCAGTAATGTCAATAATAGAAATGGTAAGGAAGAGACAAAAGGTATCACTTATCAATAGAGGATTTAGTGTGATGAGCTTTAAGAGAGGTAAAAGTTACGATACCGATAGAAGCCTTTTCAACATCTACTTATCACAGGGGACGATTCCTCTCAAATGGAAAGCGGCGGCAAATGAGTTGCAAAGTGCCGTAAGGGTCCATAGTTGATGGCACACTATGGAATTTATATTACAACAGAGATCCGACAAGTCTTACTATTCTTTAGATCTCTTGATTTGGGAAAGGGTAAACAACTGGAACAACAAAGGTAGTACAAGAAGAGAAATACACTGAAAAGTGTTGGAGAAGTGGCAGTCAAGATGGCAAAAATACAAAGGTTGGAGTAGTGTTCATCAAGGACGTCGCAGTATGCCAAGAAAGGGGCCTGCCTGGGATTACTACGTGACGCAGGCAATTATCGGACACAGTAGCTTAGATACCCCTGAGCACACGTTCTTTTGCTACGATAAAAACCGTAATAGGCAAAAATACCGCCTAATGGACGGGGGGAAAGGTGCAGGGATGCTAGTTAGCATTTTGAGGCATACCATGATGACAAAGGCCCAAGCATAACAGGAAATGGAAAGAAGGAGGAAGGAAGAAGTTTAAACGTGGCATGGTCGGAAAAGAAGAGGAACGAAAGGGAGGACTACCCCTCGACCAGGTACGTAAAAACAATTAGTAATTTTAAAAACTTAATAAATTCCTGTTTCCACCATAAAAATGCGAATAACTGGGAATTCTGGAGAAGAAGGAAAGGAGAGGAACGAGTCGAAGGGGGCACTGACACCCTTCAACCGGACACTCCAATACGCGAGGGCCAAGAGGATTGAAAGAAAGAAGATCGAGACGAAGGTTAATGATACGATACGGAGAAGAAACTTTACTTCTAAGTAATGCTTTGAGGGCGATTACAGAGTTGGAAGAGAGGGGTGTTTTTAGTCCCACACTACCGGTCGACATACTGAAGTTTTCCACCATTTCTCAACAGTAACGTTGGTAAGACATCATCTAAAAAAATTCGGTACTTCTCCCCATTCAGCATACTATCATTAAAGTATGGACCGATCAATTTATCACCAATGCCACACCTAACATTAACCGACCAAGGTCGTTGATATTCTACTTCACGCAACCATCTCGGATTTTCAACGCTCCAATAGCGCATGTTATGTCTATAGACTTGTCCTTTGTTTGAAAAGTAGACTCATCCGAGAATAGCACGTTACTAAAGAAATTGCCGTCCAACCGCATTCGTTCTTGTGCCCATTGACAAAATATTAATCGATTTTCAAAATCAGCTCCATAAAGCTGTTGATGCAATGAAATATGGTGATACTTGTTGCGCTTTAATATTCTTAAAATGCTGGTCTTCGATATTCCGGCGTCAATTGCAAGTCGTCGAGTGCTAACTTGAGGATTTACCTCAACGCTAGCTAATACCGCAATTTCCTTTTCTTCCGTAGTTACAGTTGCTCGTCGATTTTTGTCATGATTCCTCATTTTCAGTGTTAGTGAAATCATTCACAACTGTGTAAAAGGTACTTCTCGAAGGTGTATTTCGATCAGGAAAACGTTCTCGATATAAAGCTATACTATCAGCAACTTTTCTGCCACTTTCTCCATAAATAAAAATCATTTCGACTTTTTCTACCACACTTAGAGTATCCATGATTAATGACTTAGTTTAAACACTTTGCCTTAATGTAAAACGATGACATGAATTCAGAATTTGTTGCCAAGCAATTTTTATGCAAATTTAGTTTTAATACTAAATTATTGCCGTTGTACTGGCAAAACCACACAGAAAAATTTTTTAATTCTTTTTTTAATTACTTTACTTTTATCCACAGATTCAGATTTTGCAATCAAAAACATAGGGTGCCATTTAAAAAATTGGGTTTGACCTTCATATAACCTTGAAAATTTTGTCAAGGTCAAAAAATGTTATCGTCATATGATTTCCCCCTTCGCATAGAACAACTTTCATTTGGTTCATTTTTATGTAAAATGAAGCGTTTTCGAGATAATCGCTTGTCTCACGTTAAATGGACCAGAAATATAATATAATATATACAGAATATATTATATTATATTTCTTTTCTAATAAAGGTATCGCTTACTGATAGCAACCGGAATTTTTAGATTCAAATTATTTTATCGTAGATTATCAAGGTAATTCCATAGATCCATATTTATAACCAAAAGTCTTCTTATTTGCGCTCACCATTAACAGTAAATAAAGATAAATTGTAAACGATTTAATCGGGATGAACGGTCAAATTATTAAGCAACATCTTTCTTTTTCCTCGTGATACTTAACATATGTTACCATGCTTACCAGGTGATTTTATTTTTCCTTCTCTCTTCACTCCTGGGTTGGCACCAGCCACCACCAGCGGTGTAGGAATGGA